TGATCGCGAGATCCGGAGACATGCTCGCCTAGAAACCTGTCCTCCCCCAGTACGCTCTCTCTGGACCGCTCTTCAAAGGCCCTGCGACCAACAGTTCTGGCATTGTTATTCTCCCAGCGGAGATAGAGTGGCTTGAAGAAAAGCATAATAGGTATCTGAATAAAAGCCAGAAACAATAGAATAACTTGAACGACTGCCTGGCCCTCATAAAGCTGCTCTTGAACTTTGCCAGGAGACAAAAACATAGAGATCAACATATTCAGAAGGTTCGGCGGGGACTGTTCACGGGATTCCCAATCAACAGACCACTTGTAGAGGACCGTAAAGGCAAGGTAACCAAAAATTGATTGAAAGAAGATCATTTCTGGGATAAAGTTACCTATAATATCGACCTTCTGGCGGAAGTGATGGGCGTTCACATATTGTAAGCAGAGTGCGTATGTCATCTAAGAGTGTTATTATATTGTCTATTGGAAGACATACAGCACGCACATGCATCCAACCCAGCAGAATACTCATCTTCATTTTCATACTGTTAGTAAAAAGAAGATAATTCTCGGCGTCATGCCAGTTCCAGTCCACTCCAAATGGAAACCGATAGCCGTCCCTTAGCGAAGCCTCGATCGTTTCGCTTGGTCGTATGTTGTCAGGCCACTTCCACTGGCTCGGGAAGAAAGTGAACGACTTTGAAAAAACATCGTTGTAAAGCAAACCAGTGTATATGGAGAAAAGACCCATCATTAGCAGGGTATAGCGGCCGTAGAAGGCCATCTGAACCAATTCGTCCAGCTGTGATTTCTTCAGCGTCCCCTCCCAGCAGATCATAGCAGTGGCAGCGATGGTTATCAATGCACCATGGCCAACGTCTCCGAACATAACTGCAAACATGAAGGGAAAGGTAACAGCTGTATACAACCCGGGATTAGACTCTTCATATTTTGGAATATTGTACGCATTGACAATGTTCTGGAAGCCATCAGTGAACTTATTTGTTCTGACAAAGGTGGGTGGAGTATTATTCGTTCTGACCCGATTGACAATTGTAGGCACAGTCAATCCAGCGCGATCATTAACGTCCCGCAAAGCCATCTTGATTGATGGAAGCGAGCTAGTAGGACACCATGCCTCTGCGATATGTGTCGTTCTGGCCTGGTCATAGGTGAATTGATTCAGCGTGTCATATATGGCCCTCTCTTTCTTGATAATAGTCATCCAAGCCGTCAGAAAAGGGGCAATCTGTGTCAGTTCTGCATGAAGCATATTTTTTGTCCTTTCCACCACATTCCTCGTATCATTCAATCTGGTGCTTACTTCATGCATCTGTTCCCTTCTTAGGTCATAGTCCTCATCGACACTATACAGAGAAGCACCGAGAGATTTAGAAATCTGTCGGATCTTCGCAGTAATGGATTTGCCATGTGCAAGGATCATGAATGCACTTTTGTGGATCTCCTCGTTGTTGGTTGGGTCGACAATAGGCACAAGGATATCGGACTGATTCATATAGAGGTTACCACGGAGTGTTCGCCAAAGGGTGCGTTGGAGTAACCCCATCCTAGTTCGTGGTATCATTCCAGCAAT